GCGAAAATTTTGTCTATTTGGCTCTATCTGCAAACGTTTAGGCACCAGAGGGAGTTTTCCACACGAAAATGACCGCAAAACATTTCTACGTCTGTTCTCAGATATTTGATGGTCTCCGGTAGGTTAAGTTGTTAAAATAAAACCCCGAGGAACAAAATTTGTGACTTTTGGGGCCGAATGCCCACTGACGACTCTGCCTTTGGCCCGACTCGGATGTCAGCACCGCAGGCCTAGGTAGATATATGCCAGGCGCGTCGCAGCGTAACAGTGTTCCGTGAGATATCGCGCAGCCTGTTACGCGATATCTCACGAAACACTGTTGCGCTACGACGCGCCTGGCATACATCTACCAAGGCCTGCGGCGCTGACGCCCGAGTCGGGTATCGCTAAAATGCATACTAAGATACGGGCCACCGGCCCGTCAACTTCCCGTCACTTCGACTAAGCATGAAGGGTTGTACAATTTTTCGCTTATTTTTATCAAAAACTTCCTGTGGCGCCTAAATGGTTCAAGATAGAGCCAAACGAACGAAAGTTTTGCCCAAAGGGCTCTGCTTTAATGAGGTACCTCTTAGGAAACTGTAAAAAAATATTTGAAAAAACATTATTTGTGCGACTTGTTGTTTTTGATTTTTTAAAAGTCTAATTTTTGAACTAGAATGCTCTTCTTCGGACTTGATCTGTCTTTTCATGATACAAAACGACCCTGAAAATCCCAGGTCGCTAGCTCAATTCGTTCTCGAGTAATCGTGATGACAGACAGCCAGACAGACGCGAAACTTTTTGATCACTGGAGTAATAGGCTTCGCTAATCGCCCAGCCATAAAAAACTAGGTACATGTACGCCAGACCACGTCTCGCGTAACAGGCTTCGCGATATCTCACGAAACACTGTTACGCTGCGACGAGTTACGAGTTACCCCACCAGAGACCAACAAATATCTGAGAAAATACATAGAAATGTTTTGCGGTCATTGTCGTGTAGGAAACTCCCTCTGGTGCCTAAACGGTTAAAGAAAGAGCTAAATGGACGAAATTTTCGCCCAAAGGGCTCTATTTTGATGAGTTACCCATTAGAAAACTGTAAAAAAATATTTTTTAAAAATGTCATTTTGGGGACCTGTGGTTTTCCATTTTTTTAAAATCCAATTTTGGAGCTAGAATGCTGTTCTTCGAACTCGAACTATCTTTTTATGACACAAAACGACCCTCAAAATCCCAGGTCGCTAGCTCAATTCGTTCTCGAGTTATCGTGCGGACAGACAAACAAACACACAGACAGACAGACGCGAAACTTTTTGATCATCACTAAAGTACTAGGTAGATGTACGCCAGACCACGTCTCGCGTAACAGGCTTTGCGATATCTCACGAAACACTGTTTCGCTGCGACGCGCCTGGCATATATCTACCTAGGCCTGCGGCGCTGACACCCGAGTCGGGCCAAAGTCGTGACTAGGCACTCGGCCCCAAAAGTCACAAATTTTGTTCTTCGGGGTTTTATTTTTACGAGTTACCCCACCGGAGATCAACAAATATCTGAGAAAAAGCATAGAAATGTTTTGCGGTCATTGTCGTGTAGGAAACTCCCTCTGGTGCCTAAAGGGTTAAAGAAAGAGCCAAATGGACGAAATATTCGCCCGAAGGGCTCTACTTTGATGAGTTACCCTTTAGAAAACTGTAAAAAAATATTTTTTAACTAGGTAGATGTACGCCAGACCACGTCTCGCGTAACAGGCTTCGCGATATCTCACGAAACACTGTTACGCTGCGACGCGCCT